GAATTAATTAAAGTAACGTTTTTTCTTATTAAATTATCTGTGTCCTTGCATCTTTGTTTGCAGTTCTTATTTTATTTGAAATGCCTGCTCTGGATATGTATTTCATGTTTTATATTGTAAGCCAATGCGTTGTTTTCCTTTTGTTGCTCTAGTCATTTTTTTTTTGTCTACAACATTCTGTCTTGAAACTTGCCAGCTAACACGAACTATATGTATATATAATAAAGGTCCCTTCTCCACGCCCTTATGTGTTTTGGTAATATAGGGTCAGACCTAAATATTTATATACCAATCAGCACTTGGTGGGTGATGTGATCAGCCGCCTCTACTTCACAGGACTGTACCTGGGTCGACCTAGGAGTCAAGGTCATTTTGAAAAATCGTCTGGCTCCGCCAGGACTCGAACCCACGACTTCCGATCTGCAGGAGGGGGGGGGGGTCCTCGCCGCTAACGCCACGGCGACCTCCTTATATATATATATATATATATATATATATATATACTCACACACACACATACACAGATAGAGAGAGAGAGATAAAGAGAGAGAGGGAGAGAGAGAGACAGACAGAGAAGTAGAGAGAGAGAGAGAGAGATTATTCTTGTTTTCTGCTTCTGTCGGTGGCTATAAGTACCCATGCATTTTATTTCTCTTAATAATCAAAATGGTAATACATTAAGTGGTATTCCTTAAGACATTAAGGAGCGAAACGTTGTGACATTTCAGACTCTTACGACATACGGCTGGCCAAATTAAGGACCAATAATTTATTATAGGACGGAACAGATTTAGGATTGCATTGTAGGACCCAAGAGCAAAAGACTAATGAGACCCAACCGGACAGAAGACATCTCACGAGGCAACAACCATCATGAAGCTAAGGATGAGAGGAACACAACGGGACACAGACGTGAAGGAGTGGACAGTCTATCTGGTTAGGGACACAGAACCATCAACCTGGCACACACTTACCATTTTGTTAGCCAAACATTTGGCACAAATAAACCAGATATAAATATAACCGGTTAAACGTGGCCTACATTTTAAATTTAAAAAAAAATAGTATGGACATTGATATTTCTGATATTACTGAAATGGCCCTTGGAATTCTTTACAGCAACCAGTACTCCATTAATGAGTGTTGCTTTGATGAAATGCTTTGAAAAAAAAAAGCTTTCTGATGAACTTTTCCGTTGCGTAACATCGCTGCGATACCAGAACGGTTACCATCTACACCAACGGTTTCGCGAGCGTAAGCCAGCGGCGTCGCGGCAAAAATCAAAAATTTTCAGAATCTGCTTGAGATTAGCTAAGACTGCAGTTTAAAACAGAAATACCATTAATGAAGCCAATCAAAGTTCTGGATGCAGGTGTATTCATTGTCGCGCGCCCACGTGGGTAAATACACTGATATAGTGAGGTGTGGGTTTGATCCTTAACAATGCCCACCCACGTGAGAAACTGGACTAATATCTAAGCTATGTTGATCCTAGACAGTCCTGGATAGCCAAGAAAACAGCGAGTGGCTCGTTCCATGAAATGAAAGTTGCTGTACTTGTATCCACAGGAGTAGGAGAAGGGATAGATAGATATCTGGATACACCCACTGTGATATAATCCAGGTGCTCATTTAACCCCTCCGACTGCTCTCCTCTCCTGGCATTACTTAAAAGCCCCCATCAAGTGATTTAAATATTTGTTAGCTGAAGTAAACTAATATGCACAAAGACACTTGAACCTAAGTACACAATTTACTCAACTATGTTGTAACAACATCAACAAGATTTATTTAATAAATCTGACTAAAATAAAATGAACTTGTTTAGGCTAGTAGAGTTTAGGTGATGTGAATGATGACAGTTTGTACATATACTTAACTCCTAGTAGGAGAATTCACCATCGGACAGTTCTCAGCTTGAGACCCTGTCTATTCTTTCCCAGTTTGTCGTCCTCACTGCTTCAAGCAGGTCGTTACACTCGGACGGTCAGCAATGAATGGATGCTTACTAGTCCCTGCCCAATGTGGGAACTGGAGAATGAAGAAACAAGCGCATATTTGTAGTATCTGCTCTAGATGTACACTAAGCATGTATATTATAATAACATCAAGCATGTTTATTTAAATAAAACATTTCATCTCTCCCTCATGCTCACATTCACTCCTGTTCAATTTGAAAGGGCTTATGTCTCACATTCCAACTGTTACATCTTCTGGCTTCCTCTACACGTCCTGTAATGATAGTCAAGTCTTCTACGTCAGGTGCCATCTCTCGTACAGACTCAAAATGACAATCAGTCAGACAGAACCAGTTCTGGAATCTATGCTTGGAACAATCGACGCGCCCAGAAAGCTAACAATATTTCTGAGGCGAATCAAATACCAAATCTCAAGGATTTTCTCTCCGGGATCAATCTCCGCATTTGCCTCCCGAGAGTTAAACACATTTCAGTGTGTTAGCTGTATGTAATACAGATTCACATTAACCACACGTGACAAGATTGCCAAAGTTATCTTCACGCTTGTGATTTCAAAAACATGATAGTTCATTAAATTTCAATGGTAACATCAACATTTAAGTTTTACAACATTGAAACACATGTGCACGAAAAACATTCATGACACTATCAAATAGGAAATAAAGCAATGTGACAGTGCCCTACGAGAATGAAGAAATGTCCGCCTAGGAGTACTACAACGTGATGAAGACACACTTGAGCAAAAAGACAGTTAGATCTCTATCATAAATAAAATAAAGGTTTTGAAACTAATTTCGATCTTACCTGGAAAATGAAACCACGATGCCAAAAGTTCTGTCTCAAGCTTAGGTTAAGCCCAACAGATGGCATGTGCTGGACAGGATCTCATTTGCCAGACCTAGAGTTCACCCCTTTATAACTTTTATCAAGCTCCTCCTACATTACGCCTAAAATCATTCTCATTCAAGGATGTCACAGCTCCTCCCCTGTGGGTAAGTTTATTCGCTGTCAGTCAGGGCTGTACAACACTTGTTTAAATTCCCACGCTCACATTCTACAGGTTCAATTAAGCTGGTCAAAGCTAATAGGCCAAGTCACACCTCCAGTCTACTTCACCTGTCATCACAATAAAATCAGACTTTGTCAATTCTTCTGCCAACACTTTCGGCTCACTGTGTCAATATTGACGATCTGACCGGCACTCCAGTTTAGGTAACCTCAGGGGGAATTAAGCACAATTAGCCGGAGTTATCTACTCCTGAAGGTCTGACTAGGAGATAAATATCTGACACCAACAAATGGTGTGCAAATCTCCAGTCAGTAAGTCTGCTTGGTCAGTCTTATCTCTGTACCTTAACACTTAACATCTGGGAACAAGTTTTAGTGTTTGATATGACCAACGGTCCAGGAGAATTAAAGGTGTGATGTGGTCGTCTTACTTAGATTAAGGATGTATCCAAATCCCTATTTTCCTGTTTACTTTCAAAATACAAAGAAATAAAAGTAGGTTGAGGAAAGACTTTCTGGAGTCACCGAGCGTATTGTCACATTCATAAAATAATGCTATTGGCAAGGTTGAAGTGCATTCTCAACATACGCTTACATTAAAAGAAGAAGAAGAAAAAAACAACAACAGATACAGGAGCAACCTTTAGGTGACACAGTTAACTAAACTTCCCAAAGACATAAAGGAAATGATTAACAGAAAAGTCATCCAAACATCTTCATTCATCGCATCAAAGGCAACTAACTGAACATTAAATTTGCACTGTTTTTTTTTCCTTCTTTTTCTAAGTATTCAAACCGCTTTAAGGGTAAGTGTGCCGCGAAATTTTGTGTGTGTCCGACAAGGGTGCCGCGGCGAAAAAAAAGTTTGAGAAACACTGACCTACACCATAAACCATTACATTAGCTGCGGGAGACGGATCATCTATAGGTGTGCCCTGTGTGCTATGATGCCGAATTTTAAATTAGTAACCAGCAAATACATTGAAGACCAGTTTCTGTATACAAATATGTGCCTAGCATCAGAGGCAGAGTAGCTTTCACGTTGATACACGTCTTTTACTTAACACATTTACCTTACAGTAGTTCTAGTAGTTTTCACGTTGTTGATACAAGTCTTTAACTTAACACATTTACCTTACAGTAGTTCCATTAGTTTTAACGTTGTTGATACAAGTCTTTACCTTAACACATTTACCCTGCTTCCATAGAGGGTAAGCGTCTTTGGCATAGGCGTTTCTAACTCGCTTCGTAGTGCCGGGGATGCCGGGTTCGACAGCGGTACCGAGAGCGGACTGTTCATGAGGCAATGGCAAACTGCTGAAGGTTAAATTTACCAAGAAAAACAACAGCCAAAAAATTATGGGGCTGGTTCTGCAAACATCCAGTAAAGGGTACGCAACTAAGTTTGTTGTTGTTGTTGTTTTCATAGAGTATATCTGTTACACGAGGCATCCGGCGTAACAAACAGACTAACATTATTCCATGGATTATACAGATTTAAAAAAGAAAAGTCTTAGACTATCGAGGGTTAGTACACTTACCTACAAATACAGTAGTCTCGGTTCAACTTCACGTTATAGCACTATCATTTGTATTCAACCCCGCTGAAAGTCTAATAAAGTGAGTATTAAAATATTTCCAGAAGTTTTTAAAATACACAATTAAGGAGGAGCGACGATAAAAGGCACTGGTCACCCCAGGGACCTGGCATATATGAAGGTACTGGTCACCGCAGGGACCTGGCATATGTGAAGGTACTGATCACCCCAGGGACCTGGTATATGTGAAGGCACTGGTCACCCCAGAGACCAGGCATATATGAAGGCACTGGTCACCAAAGAGGCCTGGCATATGTGAAGGTCAAACACTTCACAATATCGTTTCTGTATCTGCCATTTAATTTTTTTCATTTTTTTAAGAATAACATGCATTCTATGACAGTTATATATTTTTGTCCTTGTCTTCCACCAGACTGCGTAACAGCTCCAAGATTTGAGCTGCCGACTCGCCACAATGACCCTGGCGCTGTGCACCCGAATCCCTCACCGTTACTTGGTGATCATACTCAGTTTCATCATCATGATGGTCACTGTTGGTTATCGTGCTTGCTTCGCGCTAATGGCCACTCACATCTCCTTCTTCAACTCAACTGATAATAATTCGACATCTTCAGGCCGAGATTCAATTTTTCCTAGTGTGAGTATTTCAAAATCCTAATGGGTCGGGAGAGTTATATTTTTTTTTTTTCATCGAACACCGGCTGTGAATTCCAGTGGAAGGTCCCGGTTAATCGTCCGCTTGGACTTTTGGCCTTCACCTGGACCTGATTTTTGCGTGTACAACCGTTTTTTATTTCCCTGCCTCTTGGGCAGCTGTACGCCGACTTCGAAGGAAGACGTCAGGCCTATTTCTAGGTTGACTGTGGCCATTGTTTTGTGTGGGTCGAGACTGCCTGATTTGTGTGGTGTCCGCCTTGTCTCCTTCGCCGCAGGTATTGCCCCCGGAGAACCCCTTTGGGGCAACCCCCTGTGGAACAGTTGGCCCTCAAGGGAAGGCAGGGGCAGATCATGGGCATTCCCCGCCATCCAAGGAGGCTTCCATGCATGCAGAGCCGGCACATGGCGCTCTGGTTCTGGGCTCACCCAAGGAATCGTCACGTCCTGCACATGCCTGCTTAACCTCACAACCGTATCAGGCCTCCCGCTCGACAGGGGCTGCGCCCTCTGGAAGTCAGCGGGGAGCAGCCCGTTGGTTTTGGACTTTTGTGACCACACAGATAGGTACATTTGCCCGGCAGAATTTCACATCCTGAATCAGGCATATCGTTATCGGTTTTGTCCCAACACTCGGGCGAGTGGGGTCTTTGGGTGTGGACATTCGGCCTTTTGCATTTCAGTGCAAATTTTGATGGTCAGATTTTGATTCGTATGATCTAGTTTTGTTGGACATTTAGGCTTAGCCATCCGATGGATGGTTGCTGTTGTGGTGTACCACAGCGCGGTGACGACGACACTGAGGGTTAACCGAGGATGTACGTGACTGGCCAGCCTATGGATGGTTGCTGTTGTGGTGCACCTCAGCGCGGTGACGACGACACTGAGGGCCAACCGAGGATGCACAAGGATGGCCAGCCCATGTATGGTTTCTGTTGTGGTGCACCTTAGCGCGATGACGACGACACTGAGAATTAACCGAGGATGAGCATTGAGCAATGTTCTCTTTACTCAGCAGTCTTTTAACCAAGGGTTGTGATTTTAGCTGTACTTTTGTCGAACCTACTCATGTTCCTAATGAGTTTTGATAACATTTTTCACCCAAGCGTTTGGGGGCGGGCTGATGAGAGCCACAAGGACTCATCACCTCTGGGGGCCGCCAAACTCCGAGATCCCCTGACAGCTCTGTTAATGCTCATTTGAGACATTATCCGTGGCGCACGACGAGGACGTGCTGTAGGGGTCTTGCGTGAGGTTCCGTACAACCAGGATAGTAAAGGACTGGCGCCCGAGTGACGTACGGAGTATCTCCTTATACACATCATGTTGGACTTAACTTCCCCTCGCGCCTGTGACATAAATCACCGCGCCACGGGAGAGTTATAGTAACCTAAAACAAAAAGCTGTAGTATGAGTGTACATATTTCTTTAGAGACTCACACACACACACACACACACACACACACACAGAGAGAGAGAGTGTGTGCGAGTGAGAGAGAGAGATTGTGTGAGAGAGAGAGAGAGAGAGAGAGAGAGAGAGAGAGAGAGAGAGAGAGAGAGAATGAAATACCGATCAGAAGAGTCATGTTGCTATGAAAACAGACAGCTGGGTGTTTCGTAAATGACAGAATTTAAAGAATTATGAAATAATAGAGGATCGAATTCCTTTTATCATACCTTTTCTATTTCCTATCATATTCTTGATTTATATTTCACATCTACGACCGTCTGTACTTATAGTGCACTACAGCAGGGACCTCTCGATCAAAAGTGGTGGACTGGAGTGGGTCGACAGTGTCTCTGTTTCACACAGCTTATTTTGCCGGCCAGCTGGTGATGTCGATTCCTGCAGGAGCTCTTGCCATGAAAACCTCACCCAAACGGTAAACTTTGTTTCAAGTACATCAATTGCATATTTTGTAATCAAACAAATTGTGACTCTTTGTCTCAGAACGCGTATGAGTCCCTGTAGAATGTTAAATGTTGCATTAACAATCGATATCACAGCACTCGAGACACTCCCATAAGCGCTCCGTTCCCATCTTCAGCAGCAAGCGAGGAGTTCCAGTTCTGATGGTACCAGTAACTGTCTAATTGTATATCTATCTTGCCTTTCCCTTGAGTGTTGATCGCCGGCATAATCCCCTGGAAACTCCAAGCAACGCCATTCTCCCCAGATCGTAATGATCTATTTTTGCTTCCACACTGTTCACTTGCTCCCAAAGGGCCCTGACAACATCTAACTTGTCAAACATCATTTCACTACAAAGTGGTGCAGAACCGGTCAGTCTATCTGTCTG